ACCACATTAGCAGATGTGCAGGTGAACATCTGCTTGATGTGGAAAGTCTTCTTGGGGCCTGGGATGGGGGTGGTGGGGGGAGGTGTAGGGGCAGGTGTCGCACTTCCTGCGGTTGCAGGGAAAAGTGCCGGGTGAGGTGGGGCTGGAAGGGAGTGTGGAGCGGACAAGGGAGTCACGGAGAGAGTGGTCCCTCCGGAAAGCAGATAACGGTGGGGAGGGGAAAATGTCTTTGGTGGTGGGGTCGGATTGCAGATGGTGGAAGTGTCGGAGGATGATGCGTTGGATCCGGAGGTTGGTGGGGTGGTACATGAGGACGAGGGGGATTCTGTTTTGGTCTCCTCTCCACCTATCTTCTCCTCTATCTATCTTCTATCTGCCTCCCCCTCTCTCCCTATTTATTTCAGAACCCCCTTCCCCTCCCCCATTTCTGAAGAAGGGTCTAGGCCCGAAACGTCAGCCTTCCTGCTCCTCTGATGCTGCTTGGCCTGCTGTGTTCATCCAGCTCTACACCTTGTTATCTCAAATTCATGATTACCTTGTTTTCTTATAAATAATTTTTAATTAATCAGTTCAGACATGTTGTAACCCACCTCCAAGGTAGATGGGATTGAACCCTGACCTGTTAGGCACAGGCAGGGACACTGTCACTGCACCACAAGACCCCCTAATATGTTGTAATAAAATCTCATATGTTACAGCCGAAAGCAGCAATGTTTCTTCTCAGTATTAATGAAGATGTAAAGCAGAGGATAGTTTAGTTGCAGTTAAACCTGTTCAATTGACACTACTTTTCATCACTTCTGCAAGCTACAACTATTTCACTCTTGCTGACAACTGATAGAAGTGAAAAGAGGTAGAAATGTAAATGGTTGTGAGTAGGACATGGGGCCTTCTCACCTTCTCTAGTGTGTTTCATCTCGATTTTTAAAAACAGATGTTTTAAAAACTGAAAAGAAAAAACTACAGGAAATTATTGGGCAGCTGAGTGGCTCTGCGGTTAGCACTGCTGCCTCACAGCGATAGTGACCCAGATTCAACTGCACCCTTGGGCGACTGTCTGTGTGGAGTTTGCACGTTCTCCCTGTGACTGTTTGGGTTTCCTCCGGGTGCTCCAGTTTCCTCCCACAGTCCAAAGATGTGCAGGTTAGGTGGATCGGCCATGCTAAATTGCCCCATAGTGTCCAGAGATATGCAGGTTAGGTGGGTTAGCTAAGGGAAATGCAGGGATACAGGGATAGGATAGGGTAGGGGGTGTGAGTCTGGATGGGATGCTCTTCGGAGGGTGGGTGTGGACTCGATGGGCTGAATGGCCTGTTTCCACACTGTGGGGATTCTATACAGGTATTTGTATTTAATATAATGAACATACATAATCTATAACTTGCAAAGTACATAATTTCCCTGGAGTAATATTAAAGAAAAATTGACATACTGGTATCTTGATTTTTCTTGGTGCTTGGAACAAAGAATGCCTAAGTAAATAAGTTACAGCAAACCTTCCTGCTTCAGTAGCTAAGCTTGGAGGATTCATTGAGAACTTAGTGACTACAAGCACCGTACCAGACTCATGGCTTCTACCAGCTTAAAGGACAAAGGTCCAGTCATGTCTGAGGACACACATCACTTACAAGTTCCCCTTATAGAAGAGATGATAATGCTTATTCTATTTTTGACTACTTGTTCAAAAAAAGGTGCCACTTTGAACTTTTTTGAATTTCTGCATTGATGGGAGTCTTAATCAACATTGGAATTTTTATGTAAATAATTGTGTAAACCATAAGATCTTCATTCTTCACTTTGGTAGTGTCCCTTTATTAACACATAATTCTCACTCATTGGCAATAATTCTCTATGTTGCAAGATAAATTTGGAGCAGGCACATTGGGTAATGCTCGACTTGCCGCCCCACCACCCAGAATGTTCACCAGATCATGAACCAATCAGTTTATAAGCTGACCGGTGACTTTCTCAGTCAATGGCAAGCCTTGACAATGAAGTCCTGCCTCAGTAAATGCTGCCAGCCATCAGAGGCTATTGGTCAATGCATAGTCATCAGGGAATCCAATGGCAAGAAGGTAAGTGGTTTTTTTTGCTTCTTGTGGGTTGGGGGTTGCTAAAAGATGGAGGGTGGTCAGTGAGGTTGAAGGAATGGGCTAGGGTGGTTTTCAAAAGCTGTCCTCTTGCATTCATCTGTGACTCCCATTGCCCTGGTGCCCTGAGTCCTGATGAAGGGTCTCGAACCGAAACGTCGACTTTCCTCCTCCTCTGATGCTGCCTGACCTGCTGTGTTCCTCCAGCTCCACACTGTATTGACTCGACTCCAGCATCTCTGATAATATAACTGCTGTGGCTGCAACAGCAGATCCAGGCTGCTAGCTTTTCTGAAGCATCCTGACTCCTCAAAGCTCCTCCACTGTCTGCAAGACAAAACTTAATAATATGATGGAATTCATTCCAGTTGCCTGGATGGCTAGAACTCCAACAACACTCAATAGCCACGGCATCATACATGACAAAGCAGCCCGTTTGATGAGCACCATATCGAACACCTTAAATATTTACTTCCTTCGTCACCATTACACACAGGTAGCAGTTTGCACTCACTACAAGATGCATGCACCAAGTCTCCTTTCACAGCACCTTCCAAATCAGTGACCTTTACCACCTAGAAGGACAAAGGCAGCAGACACATGGGAACACCACAATCTTCACGTTGCCCTCCAAGTCACACACTGTTCTGACTAGAAACTATAGCATCATTCCTTGACTGTTGCTGGGTCAAAATCCCAGAACTCCCTTCCTAATGGCACTGTGTCTGTACCTACACCAGATGGCTGCAACAATTAAAGAAGGTGGCCGACCACTATCTTCTCAAAACAATTCTGAAATGCTAAGTTCTATAAAAGGATCAAAACAGTGATTGTCACAAACCCCTTCAAATGCTTATACATGATATATGTAAACATTCTTGAATAATTCATGACTTAAGTTAATAACCCCAAGTATGTTCTTGCAAGGAAATACAGAGCTGAAAGGTCAGGTGCTTTCTTCCAAGAAGGGAAGTCATAAGCTTAGCCACTGTGGGCGACGGTCTTGTAGCTGCCAAGAGTCTGATTAGTGGGCAACACACCAAGGAGAGGAATCCTGGGAGCTGGGCTCCAGGTTATTCTTTCAAATGGGAAAGAGGTCTGGGTGAGATAGTCTACGGCAGAATAGAAACAGAGGAAAGATAAAGGGAATGAAGGGAAGAGCTGGAATACTTTAATTCACATAAATATGCTGTTCCAACAGGCTAGGGCAAAAAGCAAAATTGAGCTGCAAATATGCCTTACCTTGTTTCAACCCATGCTTCTGTGCCAGTTTGGGTAATCTATCCTTTGTGTGGATCTTCTGTTTATCATACTCACTAAACAGATCATCTTTGGTTTTGTTGATTGCACAGCAGACCTCTTCTTTCTTCAATCTAGATAGTTCACTGCAAAGCAGTTTCCCTTCTGTGTTTTCTCCCCTGTGACACCATGGATATTCAGGATATCCATGATCTGACAGGTTTATCTCACAAAAAGCTGCAGTTTTATCATCTGTATCATAGTTGGAATTATAGAGTTTCTCTAGTTTGATTTCTTTATGTAACATCTCCTCTGTCAGTGCATGAGTTAAATGTTGGTTGCCATGATAATCTGCATTTGGTCCAAATTTTCTTTCTCTTATACTTTGTTCATCACAATAATTCTCATTCTCTGCTATTAAATTATCTCCTCCCCATTTTGCTCTGTTTGGAATAGTAAATGTTTCTTTATATTCAGTTTCACCATGTTCTTCCAGGTCCAGGCATGTTACACTGTGCTGCAATTCTGCAGTTTCATTGGACGATTTCTCATCAATGTGACTGAGAGAATCTGGACACGAGTGGCATATGCTGCTAAATTTTGTTGAAGCTTCAGTTCCTTGATCAACAGGAACTGAATCTGTTCTTTTGATCTTCGTACTTTGGGTATTGTGTTTGGTCGGAGCTACTAAACTAATTGGACGAGATTTCCTACAGTTGATGTTAGCAGTATTTCTTCCAGTTTGAGACTGAACAGAAGTCTTCCTTCTGAAGGAGAAAAAGAGAGTGTTTACTTCCTTGAGACAAAGTAAAGTTGCATAATTTAACAGTGAAGCAATGAAATTTTCCAGCACAAGCAAGACCATTTGGAGCCACTGTGTGGAACTTGTACCCAAGCCTTCTCAGAATGGATGGGGCTATGGATTGCTAAATTCTCTAAAACGGGAAAGCTAAATTCAACTTATTGCAAGCTGCTGACATCTGGTTTCACGGGGGCTTTTTAGGTTCGGACAAATAGTTTGTTCTGCAAATATGAGTTGGTATTCACATCATTTGTGAGGGTGCATGCCTCAGATTTTACATTTAGTTTGGCTTTAATGGCTGCACACCAGCTTTCCCAGAGCTTAAGAAATGTAGCAGGAAAAGGAAAGCAGAAACTTGTTCACTACATGCTTTTCCTGCATTGTTTTTTAGCCAGGAACAGCAGGAGATATGGACTCAGCTTGCATTGGCACCTAATTTTTTTCAACTGTCCTGTTGTATTGTTGCAGAAAAGTTCCCTCCTGTCTGTCAGTCCACCTTCAATCTGCCTAACTGTCAGGCAGTTTCACATGATTTATGGTTACCTGATCGTTGTCAGTCCTCTCCTCATAGATGTCAAGGACTTTGTGTCTGCGAGGTTCTTCATTGGTACAATCCAAAACCTATCATGTAGTCCTTTTCCCTTCTCATAGCTTTTTCTCTTCATCAACTTCAAATGTTCATTCAATAATTTCATAATTAAAAGGAATATTACAAAATCACTCCAAATTTCAGTCAGGTAGGTGAGACAAAATAGTCCTGTGTGCTTTTATAAATAGTTCTGTTTTCTCTGTTTATCTCCCAACACTTTTTTGACCTATTTAGCTTAGTCAGATTTGCCTTTCCATTCTTAGTTAGTAACTTCGCCTATGTCCCTCTTTTGACCCTGTCTGAAGGTCTTTGATGTCCTTCCAGATTCCCTTTGATTATGCCTCCAACTTGCTGTTCTGCTTCCAACACTGTCAGACTCTGCTGGTTTCAGTGTTTCTCTTACCCTTTCTCTGACCATGTCCCAAGTATTATGACTCTTCTCATCCCAGTGTTCATTTGGTCTAAAATCTACTGGTCTCTCAATTGGATTCCCATTAACTTAATTCACTTCTTTCAGTTTTGATCTGTAGTTGCTCTACAAGGTTAGTAAAGCAGAGAGTAGTTGATTTTAATTAAAGTAATGAGGGTTTAAGCTGCGAAGAGAACATTCTGATGGTTGATTTAACTTATATATTTATAGCATTTTGTTAAGGTAAAGTCACCATAGTTCCATCACAGAGAGACAATTGATAGTGGTTTAACCTAAGGGCCACCAATGTCAGGCAACCGCAAAGTTGAGAAGCTGGGACTTTCATGGTAACCTCAGCTAGTACAGGAATTGAATCCAAGCTGTTGATTGTATCCTGCATTTCAAGTTAGTTGTCCAGCTAACTGAGCTAACCGACCACCCAGTAAACATGAAGATTTACTGTAATACTCCCAGGATTCAACAAATTAAAACTGTCATGAATAAAATTTATCAACCATTATTTTGAGGTATTTTATATCAACCTGATCAGACATTTTCTAACACATCTCTGGTGCAGGTGGGACTTGAACCTATAGCAGTGGGGTCATTAACACAATGCTACAAGAACCCCAAACATGATTTTGAAATCAGGTTAACTAATTAGTCTGGATATGGGAGGCTTTGATACAACAGCTATGAGTCCCCTCGAAAGTGACACAAAGTCCTCAATAAGCCAGTGTCATGTTTTAACGACAGGAGACTAAGGCTGAAGAAAAAGGAATAATTAATTAGTTAGACTTTAATTTAGTGACTGCTATAGAAGTATATCTTCCCTCCCCTCCCTTTTCATATTGATTCAGGAGAAACACTCGCCTTTCAGTATTTCACTCGGGAGTCATTACAGCAGAGGGTATTACCATTGATTCTGACCCTCATTTCCTGATATATGCATACACACACAGACATACCTGCCAAAGCTAATTTACTGTGCATCAACTACCATAAAATTCTCTTGTTAGCATCTGTAAATTTTGAAAGGGGGGAGGGCCTCACACATTCCAGTGCAAAGTTATGCCAGAATTCTCTCCCTTTCTCATACACTTTGTACAATTTCTGCAATAATTTTGGATATTATAGGAAAGCATTTGGTCCATTTCAAGAATGTAAACCATTGCTGTGTAACTTGTGCATTTTTATTTTCAATGTTCAGTTATTTAATATATAGATCTATAATGCACAGGACAACATCAATGCAGTATAAATCTCTAAACAGTTACAAAAGTAATCTTGTCTTTAACATCCATGAAGTGCACTGTGTAGAAGAAATCACCAGCTGAATAAGCCCAAATTGTGATTTATATTGCTTTTCAAATAAACTGAATTCAAGAGAGTCTGTAATAAACATTCTGATTTGAATATTCTGATCTGATTTTAAGTCACTTACAAGGGAGAAGAGATGCAAAGTTTCATTTGAGAAACATCTTTATGAGACACTGCTGAAATGAGTGACTCCATGTCGCAAGAAAATAAATAGTCTTCACAGCCATGTTCAACAACAAGAGGATGGGATTTGTATGGATCAAAAAAGATCTTTTTAGGAGTGAGGAGTAGGATTCCCATTATAACACCCTACAACGAAATCAGAAACTATAAATAGTAAGACATGACGATTGCAAAGCAACTGTTTATTTGATTAAAATCAAACCATTAAGATCTGACACAATCATCTACTTTTGATAGCTGAACAGTGGAAATGCTAAGAAATCCCTGTGCAAGTTTTCATTCAATTTTATGATTAATATTAGTTGGTTCCATTTATCAAACAAAAAAATCTGTAATTAATATACAGGAAAACCGTTTATGTATAAACATATCAGAGATAGTAAGAACTGCCGATGCTGGAGTCAGAGATAACACAGTGTGGAGCTGGAGGA